CGGTCATATTAACTACTTGAGGGATTTGTTGACAAAGAGAGTATTCAAAACACACAACAAATTGAAGTGAGAACTACATCGCAATGTTCTTGTTTGATAATCAGCAGTTAGGGGTTAGCGTTAGCGGATTTGACTAGCGAATTATATCAACGGTTGGTAAAAAGATATTTGAAAAAATTAACCGTTTAGATTAACATGTAAAATGACCTAAGGGTATACATAATAATAATAATAATAATAATAATAATAATAATAATAATAATAATAATAATAATAATAATTGTTTTAAAAAATAAAAATATATATAATTAAGGCAACCATATTAACTACTTGTGAGATTTATTGACAAAAATAGTATTCAAGTCACAGAACAAATTGAAGTGGGAAACTACCTCGCAATGTCCTTGTTCGTCAATCAGCAGTTAACTATTCAATATTAGTATATATTTAATATTTTATGCCTTAATTTTTAGTTGCTCCCCTTTATGTCCCGTATTTGGTTTCAACCATACTTATACAATTATTTTATTGACAATTATAATCAATCTTGACTATATTATTTTGCATTTGTAAACTTAGAATTACCTATTTAAATACACAAATTAAACATTCAATTATCTATGCATTAACAATTCCAATATAATCTTGCATTGATATATTTTAAAGTACTTATTTAAAAAAAATAAAAATATTGGGCATTATCCCAATCGCGCAATGCACGTAAAAATTAGTGTATATATATATATATATATATATATATATATACACTCAAAGCTATGAAATTTAATTTTGAAAATTAATTCCAACTAAAATTTTAGTACGAAACCAAAATAATAAGTGATTTAATTTATAGAAAATTAATACCAAGAAATTTATTTATATAAAATAAATAAATACTAAGAAAGAGTTTTCTACCCTGAGGTTATAACCCAACAAAAATAAGGAAAGATCCAAGTCGTGTGTAACACACACTTTCCTTAAAATTGATTCGCTACCTTCGGGAGCTAGGAGCGTTGTAGCGTCAGCCTCCCAGGATAAAATGGATCACGACATTAAGTTTGAGCATTCAAACAAAAGGTTCGGCGAACAAAAATAACAAGCTGAGCACTTCGTAGTTTTACCCCAGTGCTGGTAGAAATTTTAGAAGAAAATGATTTTAAGAGAGGAAGAGAGAAAATTTAGATTTTGACAATTCAAAATCAGCTTCCAAATATAATCTGCCAACACTAACATGGCGTTTGGTTGGAGGGGGGAATTATATGGGAAAGGAATTGTAATTCCATGGGAGTTGAATTACTGGGAATAAAGTGAGAATTTAAATTCCAGAGTTTGGTGGACAGGAATAGAATTACTGGGAATTTCAATTCCAATGTTTGGTATACATGGGAATTGAAAGGGAATAAGTAGTATAAAGTAAAAAATGTCCATTATTGTTGTTAAACATTAATTTTAGGTTAAAAAAGGAAGGGATAATATTGACTCATCACTATTTTTTTACCCAAGAATTAAAATCTCGGGGGGGGGGGGGGGGGGGGGGGGGGGCACATGGGATTTTAATTCCATGGAATTGCAATTCCCTCCAACCAAACTACGGAATTTAATAGTCTTTGGAATTAGGTGGGAATTAAGCGGGAAGGGAATTTAAAATCCCTCCAACTAAACGCCCTGTAAGTTTTTATATGAGAAAGAGAAGTTAATAGCATTAATCAATGGCACATAAATCTAATTTAATAATCAAATTATAACGTTTAAAACGATCATACTTATTATCAAAATATACTTATTATCAAAATAATATCAACGGTTACAAAATTAATATACAATTAATTCATATCAACCATTAATAACTTGTTTCAAAACACCTTAGTGGTCGAGAAGTCTGTACATCCGGCAACCTATCGAAACATTCTGGAAAGTTGCCTAAGCATGCACCTTCTGAAATTAATCTGGATGGTCACAACTCACAACCATTCGGAACTGTCCGGATGGTGACCATTCAGTACTACTAACTATTTGCACCATTCGGTGCTGCCACCTTCCGAAAGGTGCAATAAAAACACTCCAAAGTGCTTAATGAAGTAATTAGCACTATTTGAAATGCTACACAATTAGCACCTAAACTTAAACTTAACTTTTGACTTCTCTCAAATAGGTTCCTTTTGAGAATCAATTTCCCATTCATTTATTATCTATTTTTAGCGTACAATATATCAATTTCTTCGTCTCACTACGAATAGTGCAAACCCACTTTGACCCAACTCAAATCGGAAGTGGATCCACATATATTTGTACCACAAAATAACCACTTTATTTGCCATTTTATGCTAAAAATTCCAACAATCCCCCACATGAATGAAAATTAATTTTTGGAATGTGGAAAAACGACACGAATGTGCTCAACGGTCGATCCCTACATAGGATAGGTAGGTGTTACCCTTTGAACCTTGCCTTGTGAAGATATGTTTACTCTACTGGATGTTCGGTAGAACTGATGTCTTTGAACCGACTGCCGTTTGTGTAGATGATGACATACCCCACACAAGAACCTTCCAACATTTGTTCTATTCTCATGGTTGTGCCTGTTTTGCTCATGGATCACCTTCCTGGTTCTGCGAGAGTTTCAAAAGAATTGAGCCCAATCAATTATCCTTTGAAGCAGTCTACTTCTCTCTCACATATGTGATTCTTTTCTGAGTATCCCGCACACTCACAAATGTCAACCGACATTCGAATCATTAAAGCATCAACATGCTAATCTCGTGCGGGAGTCACTATTTTGTCCAACTCAGAGACTATTAGACAAATGTGGTTAAGTGGATGAAACACGATTCTCATGTATGATTTGTGAGCTATTACAAACGAATAAGAGAGATTTATCTAATACACACTCAAATAGTGACGATTGATTTTCTCATCATCCAAAAACTAAAATAAGGGGGTGACGGGATAATTGGATACATTTACTAGTATTATTGAGATAATTGAATATCTTTACCGGTATTACTTTCTAGCTGGCACTAGGTCTGAGGAGAGCAATAAATCCGTTACATAGGCACTTAATGCAGAGTCATTATAGTTATTATAGAGCCGTTGTATTTATTAGACTAAATTAATTAGCCAGTATCCAATATAAATACCGAACCCTTGTGGTAGGCATGGGAGTGACGATGGGACACACTCAAATATTATACTAAGAACTATCACCAATGCAATCGTTTAACTTGTCACTCCTTGCTTACTATATTCTTAACTATATTCTGGTAACATTCTTACGGTCAGGGAGTGTATCATGACTTGTGGAGACTTGACTTTTAAAATAATAGATTTTAATAAATTATCAGTGACTTTCATTAAATATTTATAAACATTTGTAAACTTTATAAGAGTCTATAAAAGTCTATATTAAAAATATTAATATACTTTTATTAACTTTTGTATTTCTTTTTTTTTAGAGAAAATTCCAATTTTGGTCATATGACTATAGGAGCTTTGTTAATTTCAGCCCCTAACTTTTAAAGTATCAATTTAGTACCTTGAGTATGTAATTTTTGTCAATTTTGGTCACTCCGGCCAAATTTCGCCGGAAAATATTAATAAGTAAAATAATGAGGGTATTATAGTAATTTCACTCCTCTTTTCTTCTTTTACGGCGAGACCATCTTTTCCGGTGATGGAACACCAAATCTAGAGCTCCACACCACATTTTGCTCTTTCTTTCCGTTCATCCACTTCCAATAAATGAATAATTTCACGGATTCGGTTTGGATGATCACAAATATTTGCCCTTTGCAAATTCTTTAGACTTCTGGAATTTGTCTTAATGTGTGTTAACTAAAGTTGGTGACGCAATCACTGATGTGGAAGCATTCAAATGGACTAGAAACTGGTATTGGCTGGAAGATTTCTTCATTATCTACGGTGAGTGTTTATCAGTAGATTTATTTCTCCCATATGTTTTTAATATTGGTCCGATGAGCTTTGTGAGTTTCCGATGGCGCACTGGTCTCGTACGCACAATCAGTTGGTATCGGTACCATGACTTCCTCAAGTTCGCCGGAGAGTTTTTCTCAGGTGACATGGTAGACTCGCCGGAGAAGAAGAAGAGAAGTGTGAAATGATTAAAATGCCCTAATTATTTCAACTATTAAAATTTTTCGACGAAATTTAGCCGACAATTTGACCGGAGTGACCAAAATTGACAAAAATTACATACTCAAGGAGTCAAGGTACTAAATTGACACTTTTAAAAGTTAGGTGCTGAAATTAACAAAGCTCCTATAGTCATATGACCAAAATTATTTAAAAAAAAAAAATCTAAAAAAGTCATTAAAATTCTAAATTAAACACAACTCTACAAACTTCCAATGACTTTGATTCTTATTATTTATATAATTATTATTTTCTTATAAAAATGTTTTAAAATATGTTAAAATTCTTCATAAAACTCTCCATCTATATCTTCTTCTTCGATATCAATTTTCTCAACTTCATTATTTTCACCATAGTAAGGTGAGACATTAAATGACAATAACATATACAATATTAATAAACACTTCCAAATAAAAACTTTTTCATATAAAATTTCATAACAATATTGACTACAAATGGGAGGTCACATGTTCGAATCCAAGTGGGGTAATTGACTCTTTGTGCTTCAATATATTAAGAAAGTATATATAGACAACAATTTTTTTTTTTTTTGAAAGCTTCTAGCTCTATTACATTGTAATGTAATATAGACAACAAAGTTAGTAGTACTAAAACCAACAATATTGAATAAAAAAATGATTTAAATAAAATATTTAAAAATATACTTACTAATTTTTTTTTTAAATCAATAACTTTTTTAATATTAATTAATATTGAGTAGATCTAAGTATAATTTTAATTTACCCCTTTCGCATGACGTAAACGTGGCCAATAAATACAATGTGTTAGTTGGAGCTTGGAGTTTTCAAGGCCTTACAATAAGCAACCAAAACCAAACCCTCCAATGCCCATACGGCCCTACTTCCCCTCTCTCTCTCTGGATCCAGCGGCCACCTTTTGCTTTTTAATTTTGAGTTTTATTTTTGTAAACCAACCCTTTTCTCTATTATTGTGATCTTTTCTCACATGAATCTCTTGCCAAGTGCCAACCCAATACCGTTTCTCGCTCGTAATTTGTGAGTATTTACTTGGCGTCTCTCTGTAACTCTGTAAGTATCACACAACATTACTGGTTTCTGGTTTGAGTTTGACGGCCATGCTTGTTTCACTATATTATACGCCCACTTGGATCTTGCGCCTCCTTTCATTTTCGGCCGTCAATTGAATTAGCGTTCAGAGTTTTGATCAGTCACTTCTGTTTCCCTTGAGGAGTTATATATACATTCAGGTAGGGAGAGAGATCTTTCAAGTTGGCACCTTTTTCTTTTCTTTTCTTGGTTTTTTAAATCAAAACTCAACTACCCACTTTGATCTTTGCCTCAAAGTTCCAGTCTTTACGCTATAATGATGATCTCCGCTGTGAGGCAGTCTGGGCCGCTAGCGATCCGCGGCTCTGATTTTTTCCGTCCGAAGTCGCCGGCGCCGGCGCCGAAGTTATGCGTTCTCCCGCCGCTCCCGGCGTTGAAGCCTTGCCGGGGTTCTGTTCTCTCGTTGGCGAGGCCGGTCCATGTTTCTTCTGTGGAGACCTTTGGGAGTTTGAAGGAGAGATCTCGAGGCGATGATCACGAGAAGCGTGCGTTGGTCACGTGCAAGGCCTACGAGGCCGACCGATCGCAGCCGATCGAAGAACCGGCGGCCAAATCTGAGGCTGCCCGGAAAGTGAAGATCGGAATCTACTTTGCGACTTGGTGGGCTTTGAATGTGGTCTTCAATATATATAATAAGAAGGTTCTGAATGCTTACCCTTTTCCATGGCTGACCTCCACGCTCTCCCTCGCTGCTGGGTCTCTGATAATGCTCATTTCTTGGGCTCTGAGGATCGCCGAGACTCCAAAGACGGATCTTGATTTCTGGAAGACCCTCTTCCCAGTAAGAAAATCAATCTTTTTGTATTGTTCTTCTTGATCAGATGTTTTATGTTGTATTGCCTGTGATCTTTAGCTTACCTGTTTATTTATTTTAATGGATTTTATCATCTGAGGATGCTAATATGTTGGGAATTTTCTATTTTTCTTGTTTGTATTGTAATTGGATTGGACTATAGTGTTTTTTGATGATGTTGATGTTAATGTTGTGTTGGGTATATTTATTTAGGTTGCAGTTGCACACACCATTGGACATGTGGCTGCTACTGTGAGTATGTCAAAGGTTGCTGTGTCTTTCACTCACATTATCAAGAGTGGGGAGCCGGCTTTCAGTGTTCTGGTTTCCAGGTTCATCCTGGGAGAGAATTTTCCGGCGGCTGTTTACTTATCACTCGTCCCGATTATTGGTGGTTGCTCGCTTGCTGCCCTTACCGAGCTCAACTTCAACATGATTGGTAACCACAATTTCCTCTATCGAAATGTTTGTGATTATGTGTTTCTTAAACCATTGCCGTTTACTATAGTGGAGAATTCATGGTTTCTAGGAGTTATTGCGTTACTTCTAATCAGTGTTGCAAAAATCAGGCCTAGGCCCTAGGCGGTCCCCAGGCGCTTAGCGATTTTTTCAACCTTGCTTCTAATATAAATCACCTTTAGAAAGAACTATTGCACTATTTAATTGATGGAGTTTTCCGGGGATTTTTACTACTGAAATACTGCCCAATAATGCTTGTTTACTCTAACAATACGCAATTTGCTGATGCCTTTTCATTTTGGGTTTTGGCTGTTAACTTCAGGGTTTATGGGTGCCATGATATCGAACTTGGCGTTTGTTTTCCGTAACATATTTTCCAAGAAGGGCATGAAGGGGAAGTCGGTTAGTGGGATGAACTACTACGCTTGCTTGTCCATGCTATCTCTTGTTATTCTCACCCCATTTGCAATTGCTGTGGAGGGACCACAAATGTGGACTGTTGGGTTTGAGAAAGCTCTTTCCCAAATTGGACCCAATATCATATGGTAATCAGATGACACCTATCGAACCTTGTTTATCTTTTCGGTACAATATTTGGCATAATGTTACTTCAAGATGTTTTGGGTAGGAAACCTTTTTTGTAGTAATTATTATTTTCGTCAATTTTTTCAATGAATTTATGCAATGAGGACAATGAGGACAATTGCAGATATATATATCTATTTTCTTATTGGCTTGCCAATAGTTGGAAAACTCGTTTTCATTGAATTCCAAAAATGATTAGGTTATCTATAGAGAATATGCAAGCAAGCTAAATGATATTTCAAGTGTGGATTTAACATTTTCATATCCAACGGTTCTCATAATTTCTTATGTAGTGATGTATGACCAGTGTTGCAAAAATCGCGCCTAGGCGCTAGGCGGTCGCCCTCCTAGGTGCCCTAGGCAGTTCCCAGGCGCCTAGTGATTTTTTCAACATTGTGTATGACTATTCGTTTGTTATAGAAATATTTAGTTTGAACGGACTAATAACTACGATGAAGGCTAGGGAGCTCTTCAATGTGCATTTGCGTATCTGTTTATACCTTTTTAAACTGCGACCCGTCTATACAATCGGTGTGTTTTTGGTTACTGATGTTTTTGTATGGTTAATATCTGCGTGTATAGGTGGATGTTGGCCCAGAGTGTGTTCTATCACCTCTACAATCAGGTGTCGTACATGTCCCTGGACGAGATCTCGCCTTTAACTTTCAGTATTGGAAACACCATGAAGCGTATTTCTGTTATTGTCTCGTCCATCATTATCTTCCGGACACCAGTCCAGCCTGTCAATGCTCTAGGAGCTGCCATCGCTATTCTTGGAACTTTCTTGTATTCACAGGTAAATTATGTCTTTTTGTATTGTTTTGGTGATTAAATACGATTCTCCCTTGCTAGATACCTCAGTCTGAAAGCTACCGAAATTTTTTCTGCAAAAATGAACACTACTTCCATATAAACTAAACAACAACACAATTTACATTTTGAAGTTCTGCCCCCACATGTCTTTGGACCGAGGGAGGGAAGTGTAATCTGTGGTTATCTAAGCTGAATTTGTCACCATTGCTGAAATCCCAGAGGCCTAACTGTAGGAGGCACCTTTAAGCCCGTACCATACTTAGACTAATCCCTGTTCACACCGGCCCGGCCCAATTAAGGGGTAAAGTGCTGAACAGATTGGTTTTTTTCATACGAGAGGGGTTCGAACTCCTGACCTCTCTTAAAGAACAAGAGTGCCGGCCACTCACGCCAACCAAGCTGGTTAAGTAGCTAATTAGGCTTCTGCATTTTTATTTCCTTTTTGTCATTTTGTGTAGTATACCTAAAAATGAACATTCAATGTATTGAAAATGAATCTTTAGTATACAACTAATGAATCTTATGTCAATGGTCCATCTTGTAATGATCGGACAAAGTATTGAATTGTATTTCAAGGGCACGTTCTCTAGTTTTAGCGAGGATGCATATTTAACTTAAAAGGATTGCCATTTTTATCGTATTCTGGGTTGTTTTTGCAGGCAAAGCTGTGAAGATTTGGGCAGAAGGAAGTTGGTGCAGCAGAGAGGAAGGAATGAGATTTTGGGGGTGGTGATGAAGCAAGCAAGTTGCTTTGTTTGTAGATAGCAAATAAGGAGTTTGAGGGAAGTACTCAAACGTTATTATAGTGATAGATTGGGCAGAGTTTATTGTAATTTTTTTTTTGCACCTCCAGAGTTGAGAGAGAGAGAGAGATAAGAATGTTGAACTGTATAAATAAGCGAACAGAGATGATGATGAGCTGTTAGGGAACTCTTTCAAATTTGATAAATAGAGTATGATGGTTATGATGATAGATTGCCACCGACGCCTAAAGTATAAAAATGGCACACCTTAATTGAAAAATTTATGCATCTTTAAGTTTATAATAATTGGATGTGTTTTAAATGTTAAAATGGTGCACTTTACGTGTTAAAAAAATACACAAGTTATGAAAAGATACACTTTAAAGTTTAGAGTGAAGTTTAAAACAAAAAATGCATCATACGTTTTCAACTGAAAAATTGACGCACAAAAATCACACCTTAAGGACAAAAACTACGCACCTTAAATTTGATTAATAAACAAAAAATCAAATTGCCGTTGTATTTTTTAAAGTTTTTTTTTTTTTTTTTTTTTAATCTGAACTGTTGATTTTGATTAGATCAAACTGAAATTAACTCATTTTTCACCTAGAATATGCATATGATTCTCTCTCTCTCTCTATATATATATATATATATATATATATATATATACTTGGCCGCCTAGGCGACACCCCAAGTGCCCAACTAGCGCATAGCACCTTCGTGAGAGCCAACCCACTCAAGCCATTTAGACTTGATAGATCACATTGAGGTTAAAAAAATAATTTGACCTTAACCTACCATTTTTTAGAAAATCTTTTCGACGCAATTCATTAATTTTAAAATTAGTTGTATCTAATCATCGTTCTAACCGTTTCAATTTCACTACTTTCCCAATCATAAGTTTTGGATTGATTGTCCCACCAATATAAGCCCAGCCAATATATTAGCAATTGTTATACAATGAAACATGGTTGACACAATTGTGTAAACCACGGTGATACGCCATATATATGTATATTGTCAAATAAATCTATAATAAAATTAAAATAATATTTTAGTATTGCTATAATGTATTGTGTGTATAAATTGAAACTGAAAAACATAGCTCATATAAATATGTATAATGTCAAATGAACATGTAGTAGAATTAAAATGCTACTTTAGTGTTACTATAATGAATCTATTGTATGTATAAAATGAAACTGAATAAGAGAACTCATATAGATATGTATATTATCAAATGAACGTGTTTTGAAATTACAATGATGCTTAGTGTTGTTATAATGAATATATTGTGTATATAAAATGAAACTAAATAGCAAAGACATGAGTGTAATTAAAATGATACTTTAGTATTATTATAATGAAATTAGTATATGTGAAAAATAAAACTAAAATAGAACTTATACCATGATCTATACTATTATATGGACCATGATCCATAATAAAATATTCCATATATTAGAAGTGTCCTAATATGTTTGGGCTTGGACCAAAATTTATGTTAAGGAATGGTCTTAAATATGTCTTAAGGCAAATTATTCTGTGGACCAGTGTACTAAGATACACATTTTACATATTAAATATTTACAATTTCAATACTAAAATACACAATTTAAAACAAGGATCCATCCTGGTCCATGGTATAAGAACTGAGGTTAGTCTTAGTGGCTCAAAAGAGTTGATTGAGTTATGATTTTACAGGTATGAGTGTTTCTAGGCTTAATAAATGTTGAATTATCATTTATCAACTTTGTGTATTTATGGCCCAAAAAAGAGTTTAGGTTAATCTTCGAGGCTCAAAAGAGCCGAGTTATTATTTTACAAGTCTGAGTGTTTCTGGGCTGAATAAGAACTGAGGTTAGTCTTAGTGGCTCAAAAGAGTTGATTGAGTTATGATTTTACAGGTATGAGTGTTTCTAGGCTTAATAAATGTTGAATTATCATTTATCAACTTTGTGTATTTATGGCCCAAAAAAGAGTTTAGGTTAATCTTCGAGGCTCAAAAGAGCCGAGTTATTATTTTACAAGTCTGAGTGTTTCTGGGCTGAATAAAAAGATGTGTACATGGGAAGCTTTTCTCTATCAGAGCCAGGTTTCGATCCTGGGACCTGTGGGTTATGGGCCCACCACGCTTCCGCTGCGCCACTCTGATTTATTGTTTAAATATTGTAAATTTCTATACTTATTAATTTGTGTAGATAGCTGTGACGCTAAAGCCCGTTTGTGATTCTCGGTATTTGCGCCACATTGATGGCCTTAACTCATTCTTTAAAATAGTGTAGTTTCCCAAAAACTTGATTTATACACTTTTGATAAAATTTACAATATTAAGTGCTTTGTAAATTGTAAACATGTACTTTATTTTTTTTGGAAAGTTACTGGCTCTATTACATTGTAGTATCTGTTCATATACTTTCTCAACCTACTGAAACACAAAAAATCAATAACGCCTCCATTGAAGTTCGAACTCATAATTTTTTTCCAAATGAAAGTCCAACCTGAATACCATTAAACCACATAGTCCTAGTAAACATGTACTTTATACTTTACTAGAAGTTCATACTTCATAGATATTGCGCTAAGCACAGAATACAATTTTACAACTTACATATTATTGTACATTTTTCTATGCGATTATATATACTATATTACTCTATATTATATTATATAGAATATTTATAATGAGATAAAAGAAGAAACCCAAGCCTTTTTATTTTACCTAAAGAAAGATAATGGAAAAATACAATTAAAAAAAAAAAAAAGAGTAACAAATTTAGGAGGATAAGCCATTCTCTATATTATGTTTTTGTCCCTTGTGAGAAAAGGGAGAAGATGTTATGTGTATTTACAAAAATGAATGCAAAAGCTAGAAGTCAATGATGGGTTCGCCAATGGTGAGATTCCTCTCAACGTTCCATGGTAGGTTAAAAAGCTTCGCCATTATAAATTTGAAGATCTTATTCACATTGATGTTATGGGTCGAGCTCGAGAAGAATAAGGTTGCCTTCATCACCTTTGCATATGCCCTTGCCTGCAAATTTATTGTGTATCAGTTCCTCAAATCTTAAATATTACTTTGAGCAGCACAGCTTTTTGCATATAATCAGTTATCAGCTAATTTACTAAACACTTTTCTACAATCAACTAATACTATCAACTCGTCAACCTCACTAACCCAATCAGTTAACAACTATCAACTATTTACTAAACACTCCCAAAGTAGCAGCTTTTTGCATATAATCAACTATCAGCTAATCAACTTACTAAACACTTTTCTACAATCAGTTAATGCTATCAACTCGTCAAACCCATTAACCCAATCAGTTAACAACTATCAGCTATTTACTAAACTCTCCCAAAGTATTGATATAGAAGTGAATATTTTTTGATGGGTATGCTCAATAGTCCCAACTCCCAACCAACATTCTTGTGCTACCAAGACAAGCAAGTTTCATATAAAGAAATGTTTGGCGTTTGTCCTTGAACTTATCCGATAAGGCAAGGCCTAAAGGACATACTACATAGATACAATTTGTAGTTACCTTGTTTCTTTCTTTCTACTTGGATTATGTCCGGTTGGACACATGTATTTTGTAATCTCAATCTTTACGTTGACGTTACAAAGGGGATGCAGAAAACAAGACATTTTTATCAAATTTTTAGGCAATGAAAAAATTTACAATCATTACTCGAGAATATGCCCAAGATAAATCATATTTTGTGATTCTAGAAATTAATTTAATAAATAATCTAAATTATTCAAATTAAAAAGTTAACAAAGCCTCCTCATCATGAAAAAAACATCGTTATAATTCACACACGAACAGGTCGTCGTAGGTGGGCCCACACCTCATCCTAGGAAAAAAATCTGGGCGTTTGTTCTTTGGATCGTTACGCACGCAAAGAGATTTAAGGACTGTTTGGTTGCTTATATTACATTATCTTTTTGGGGAAAGAAAATGACTCCTTAACGTATGTCCGTTTCGTTGCCCCGAAACCTAATTTTCAAGGTCAAAGCTCAAAAAATAATTTTATATTTTTTTTATTTACTGCTCTCCTGTTTTTGTATACGTGTCGTTAATTATCAAAAACCAAACAGTAAAAGAAACATTAGAGAACTGTAAATAGTTTTGTAGGTAAAAGGGATTTACCTGAGTGACGATTGTCCACTGAATGTCGGGCGGAAGCTGGGCAAAATCGTCAAACTTGGTGCCGATGAGTATAGGAATTGCATTCTGCAGTATCAACTCAGAATTAGATACACACTCCAAATTAAGTGCATTTTAGTCATTTTAATTCTTAATTATCTGACTTTATAATATTAATAAATATAATTTTTATCCCTGTTACGAAACAACAGTAATGTGAAACAGAATCAAACAAAGTTTCGTACCTGATTCCACTTTCTTGCTTCACTGAACCACCCTATAACACTGCAACACCAAAACAATTTTTTTTATTGAAAAAAGAATTAATATATTAAGATTTTAAAGAATTAATGACTTTGTGATCTAGTGACACAAAATGACTCGATCATAGAGTCAGTATTAATTCGTCGTGCTTCAATAAATTTAAAAAATAAACAGATACTACATTGTAATAAAATCAATAGCACTTTAAAAATATATATATATTAAAAAAAAAAAAAAAAAACTTAAAGCATACCTGTTTAGTGTTGATCTACTAGTAAGATCGAACATGAAGAGAATAGCAACTGAATCTTTGCAGGCAATTGGAAGTTGATCAAGTGAGGAATAATCTCCTGCCCAATTTTTTTTAAAATAAATCAGATTTACCAATTTATAATTTAAAATTCTATTATTGATTTATTACTGAAAATAATTTTATTTTATTTTTTAAATAAAAATCTGCATACCTCCAACATCCCATATTCTGAACGCAATTCTTGCACCTCGTACGAATAATGTTTTGTCCATTAGGTTTAATCCATTCATTTGCAGGCATCTCTTCTCTTCTTCATCTCCAACATACTTTATCTAAAATATTCCCAAAAAAAAAAAAGGATTGATGAACTTTAAGGCTTTAAACTTTAAAGGGTTTATTCGAAACGAATAGAAGTTTGATGAAATTATAAAACTGACCACAAAACTTGTTTTCCCAATCTGGCAATCGCCCAAGATACTGATCTTCAAGGTGACCAAATCCGAATCACTCTCGTACCCGCCACGAATAGCGGTGGTGGGGTCCTCATCGATAACCGTCCCGGATTCTGCGGATTCCGGCGGCGGCGGAGCAGCAGCACCTCCGGTCCGGGATATTCTCCGGTAGCGCGCCGGGTGCTGGCCGGTGGAGCAGACCAGTATTCTATCCCAAAGGAACCGGAAAAACTCCCTGAAATACGAAACCCTTTCCAGTAACCTCCACCGGAAGTTGACGTGCACGATTTTCCGGCAAAGCTTGGTCATCTTCCCGGTGGCTTCATGGGCTTTCTGAGCCATGAGTGTGGCTTACGCTCGGAGAAGATAATGATTCCTGAACTCTCATTCTGTGTCAAGTTTTAGGTTTTGTTTTGCGTATTTTTTTCTTTTCTTTTTTTGATTTCTACAATAAAGTTAACGAAGCAGAGGGAAGAGAGAAAGGAAGTTTATTGTTTTGGGGGGTGGGGCAGTTGACCGGAGTTCTTGGGTGCCTAATAGTCCAAGTTGCCGGCTTTCTTGGTTCCAAATGTAGGCTGGGCATTTAGGTCAATTAAATTAGGCTCAGCTTTTGATATATAGAAGTTCCTAGGGGTACTTTGGTCATTCCGGAAAAAGGATAATTTTGTAAATTAGCTCGTTTTACCTGATAGGGATTGCTCCATTTTAATGAATCTAATGATGCTAAAATTCAGCATTAGACCTGAATTATTATATTCCTTTTCTTTCTTTTTTTTTTTTTTTTTTTTTTTTTTTGAAAAGAATGATTATATTCCTGGGTGCTACTAAAAGGTGAATCACTACTACTTGTTGGACTAAATTTTGGATCATATAACATTTAAATTTTATTTATGTGATTAATTGAACTATCCATATGAAATGAATTATTATTAAAGTATAGACTCAATCTATCAATTAGGGGGTGTTTGGTTGGCATGAATTGTGTTGAAATTGAATTGGAATTCAATGAAATGATAAATTACATTTTTTGGTTTGAGCTAATTGCAATTCTATGGAATTGCAATTCTCACAATTCATTGAATTGCAATTCATAGGTCTCAATTCAATGAATTCATGCAAAGGGAAAGTGGAGGAAAAGACATATTTGTCATTGAATGTTATTATTAATATTATTATACAAAGGGTATTTTAGTCTTTATATCATTACTCCCATTTTCATTATTCCTTCCTACCAAACAATGTAATTATAATTCCTACTTTATTTACACCTTATTCTTTTCCCACCGAATTACAATTTCTTTCCCCTTTAATTCCTTCCTTCCAACCAAACGCCCTGTTATAGTTGTGTTTAATTTTCTTCCCTTAATAATTATTCATGAAGTGATGTTTTGGTATTTTTGTTAATATTCTATTGAATTTAGACATAAAATCAAAACTTAAAGGGTAAAGGTAAACATGAAATTTGATGTTCTCTTATTTTCTTTATATGAGACAGATTTTCTTAATATTACAATGTTATTTGACCATTTTTTTAGTTTAAAATTTGTTGAATAAACTAACTGAAACACGGTTAATAATATTTATGTGACCTGTTAACATTTGATAACAAATTTGGTCTATCTAGCAAAATTTGATTGAAATTCTAAAATGGTTAAGATTATTAGTGCGTTTTTTGGGTTGTCATATTTGAATACGATTACAAGTTTTACTTTATTATATTTTAAAAATTAATAATTTGTAAAGCGGACAAGCAGTTACAAACATTGACATTAAAAGAAAAAAAAAAAGTGAGACAAAACATTATTTTCTTGTAACAAATTTCACCTTTGTGACTAGTTGAGTTACCACTTCATTTTTTAACTAATCACATTATAGTTATTTCTTTTTACGAACCGATGTACTATATTATAATTGCTTATTTATTTAATACGTACAATTCTCATTCTTAAATTATTATAAAATAACACTTTTATTCTTTCAAGTACCTTGTGGTTTGATGTCATCACTGTTATTATTTCAAACAGAATTACAAGTTCGAGTCTCATCTCAATCTCAAGGGTTGGGATATTAATTGAAACTGAACACCAAATAAGGTTACTCGTGACCATTCACCATTCATTAGTCGTCGGAGCACATTAATAGGGAAAGGAAAAAAAAAAAAAAACGATGACTTAGACCGAATAAGGCGACCCGCAACCATTACACTAAAATGACATATTAATTTGTTTAATTGTAACTTTTAAAAGTTTGAAAGTTTAATTAATGTATCATATAAAGTTCACCGTGTATTTAACCATTTTTCTTTTCAAATATAAATGCTTTTATGTGTCATTAATTCATTGTAATGAGATTTTAGCAATTTACTTTAATTTTAGAACACAATTAAGATTTCGAACTCTTATATTACTGCTTAAAATAAGGCATATGATCGGTCAAATCAACTTAGCACGCGGAGCCTAATTATGAGTTTTGATGTTAATAATCAGAAACAAATTGAAGGAATATTATTTCATGCATTGTTTTAATGCTGAAATTGGCATTAATGAATTAATGAATTATGAAGCAGAGGAAGGTTCGACGCACTGATGATAATAAAATACTTAATTAATTGATTTAAGCACAATTATTTAGTAATTATATATTTGTTAAGGAGCAAACCTCCAACAAGAAGAATACAAATGTTGTGATGACCACGAGGTAAATAATCAAATAGGATAAGCCACATCCTCATCATCACCAATTAGAATAAACAAGATATTATCATGATTCGTTTAAAAAAAAAAAAAAAAAGATATTATCATGATTTTCATATAACCCGGCCCCCATTGACAATTATGCTAAACAAACACTAGTAAAAATCAAGGAATATGACACTCTAACCCCTTAATTGTGATCATTGTTTATTTTTTGTTATTTATTTATTTATTAATTAATTTGTGACTTTGGCTTAGTCAATTTATTTTAGGAGTAATTTATATATATATATATATATAAATCAAGAAGGAGGATAACACTCCCCCCCAAAAAAAAAAAAAAAAAAAAAACTAGTTGTTCAATATTAGAATATGCATGGGTACGGTCGATGAATGCAGAACCAATCTTCCTCAATAATCATTCAAAGGGGAGTATGTAGGAGGGACTGCAAGCATATGTGTGTCATAACACTATCGAATGGACAAGCGAACTAAGAAATCTATCGCTCTATTATATTCTCTAAACATATACACTACTTGGATTGCCCCATGTTTCCTCCGGTAATATATTGCAAGAATATTTAAAATCTTAATTATGAATCAAAGTTGTCATTTTTCTAAGAACATATAGAGTAAATTAAAACCACAAATTTTTTTTACTGTGATGAGTACCAAGGTGCCATTTGGAAGCTAGAAAAAACTCAATTCAAACATTTATGATAATTTAAAAGATGAAAAAAAATTTATTTTCATGTTCGTTGAACTCTTAACTAGGAAAAGTTTAGTCAAATAGAAATGTGATTCATTAAAGGGTACGTCTCTTGTGACACAATCTCTTTTTTTTTTTGGTGAGATGTGTCATATTTAGATAGAAATATAATATTTATGATGAAAAATGTAATACTAATCAGATATAAATGAAGTGTTATTTATGAGGAAAATGTGATATTGTTGATTAAAAATGTACTCCGTACGTAATACTTTTAAATCAAAATATAATATTTAAGCGTTTTACATTGAAATATCTGTTCATATACTTTCTCAACCTACTAAAACACAAAGAGCTAATAACGCCTCCACTACGGCTCAAACTCACAACCTTCCAAATGAAAGTCCAACCCAGGTACCATTGGACCACATAGTCCTGATAAGCGTTGAAGAGTTACTTATAAGGAAAATGCAATACTAATTATGGATTAATTAATTGATTATTAATTACTTATAAGAAAAAGTATAATACTTAATGTGATATTTTTAATAAAAATATAGTATTTTTAAATAAATAAATAAAAAGTAATATTTAGGGGTTGAATAGTTACTAATGAGCAAAATTATAATAATTATGAGAGAAATGTAATATTTATGAAAATTTTGACATGTCTCACAGATAAAGATCAATTAGATGATCTCATAAGAGATTTTGCCTTCATTAAAATTTAAAACGTGAGAAAATTATTCTTAAATAGGGGTTACAATACATAATTCTTTTTCTAGGTAATTGAGAATATGCAAAATTTATCAAATTACTTTCTTATTTGTTATTGTGTTTTTTGTTTGCATATGACTATATTGTATATTAAAATAATTTCTCCAAAAAAGTTTAGGTGTTTGATGTTTGAAATAAGTTTCCAGGAAATTTAGTTATTATGTTAAAAAGATAACACCAAATGTATTAACTAATTTACTCAAACAAATTATTCTAAACAAACACATTTCCAATAGTTATTTTTCAAAAATTTAATGAATAAAAAAAATATTAAAGGGCCTTTAAAGAACTCAACATGAAAACATATCATTCTTCTTAACTCTTAACATAAATAACTTTGATTTCTAAATTTAAAGTTTTTTCACTACTATAAAAATTATGTGGCTCACCCAAATGAGTTATTATCTTACCTCAAGGGTTGATTCCCTAACTCAAAGAACCTCCACATCCTAGCTCGACTGAGTATTTGGGATGCTATAAATCTAACTCAGTGATTTATAAGACATGGTCAAATTGTCAATACGTATAAGGAATCTCTCTACTTTAAATACAATCTTAATACTACCACTATCAAATTTTGAACATTGATCTATTGTCCCAAATACTAGTTAATGAACCAGTGAGTTAAACCCGTGCGGACTAAATGAATTATTATCTTCTTCCAAAAAGTTGAATCCCCAACCCCAGAGATCTTCACACCCTGACCTGACAGAACATTTAAGAAGATGTAAATTACGGTGACTCAATAGCTCAACGGACATGACTAAATGCTGGTGCGCATAAAGAATCTATCCACTTTAAACATAATTCCTTACACTATCATTATCGAGATTCAAACCTTGATTTCTTCTTTCAAATATTACTTACCGATGCGGGCAAATGAGTTATTATATGCTCCCATGGATGGCAGATAAGTATGAAAGTTAATGGCAAGACTTGATTGGTGGATCTGGATCATGGCATTCTAATATTCCAATTTTAGTTATTTGTTTTCGAAATTAATTTTGGGTAAAAGTAACAGGGAATAAGGAAAAAGCTGCAAAAGTGGAAAACAGCGTCACATTTCGATATAAATATTTTTTTTTCCGATATAAATATTGACATCTAATTGGCTTTTCCTAAAAGTACTGCCAAGATTTAAAACTCATATAGGCCTGCCTTTTTTCAGCCAAGATGTCCTTGGAAACTGGAATCTTCATATACAAAAGCAATTTTTTTTTTCGGGAGAGATACAAAAGCAATTCTCATGTCCTCAAACTACGTGTTTAAGTAGAGAAGAAGTATTAAAAAACTTTGGTTTAAAAAAAAAAATTAAAAAACTTCAATTTAAGTAGTATAAATGATTTGATTTAATTTAGTACTCCGAATTTATTATCTCAAGATCCTCAAGTTATCACCTTAATGCACAAT